GGGGTCATATGCGACCTCCAGGAACATTTTGGCGGTAGGGGCTATCGTGAAGAGAACAATGGTTGGAAATTATCCAAAGTTGGACTCCTTTCATTCTTCAGCAGTGGTGAGTCACCGTGACTATAGACATCCATACCTGAAACCATTCACTTCGTACGCCTAGAGTAGCCAACCACTCAAGGGGGTAACAAGACGTCCCCTTATGGATCGCTGACACCACTGAGGCACACCACGTCTTCTCTGAGATCGTAAAAAGAGGTTATTATAGATCTAATGGATAACTATTCCTCAAAGATGGAAGTCCAGTCTGCCAGCTAGACCAACTTTACATTAAAACAAATATTGCATCATAGAACAGTAATTTAGTTTGATAAAACTTTGTCCTGTTGCATCGGATACTTTGGAAGTAATCTTCGAGTTTAATAACAAATTCAAATCAATTCACATCAGCTAATTTCAATTCTACTAAGAAGAGACTCCGGAAAACACTAAATTACACCATCTGACGCAATGACAGAGAAATCATTCTCCTTAAGGATATTTGACCAGGGCGTGTTACTCTAGTGCGGCTGGGTCTTCTACGTGATATAACCCAGTTCAGGAGTCTCATCACGTTCCCCACATACTTTTCATCTGGTTGCTTCCTGCTGCTGTCGCTGATCACTTAGCATTAACAGCGTCGTGAAATACGATGCTTGGTAATGAATTTAGTAAATGCTCAAGGCAATCGGAATGGGTAGCATTTATTTCGCCTTAAAAGCAGAAAAGTACAAGAGGCACGCTTGCACACCATCAACCAGCTCCTCCAATTTCAAGGAAGGTGGAGACTTCTTCACAAACTACGGTGCAAACATAAAAACAGTCGTGGTTTTCCTCTACCACAGAGACGGCCATCCCCACGACTGGCCACTTTGCGGCACTGCTACAGACGGCCAAGCACACGGCTTCTCGCAATGAGGCACCGCTACAGACGGCCAAGCACACGGTTGTCCACATTGCGGCACCACCACGGACGGCCATGCACACGGATTCACGTTGTGAGCTGTGCTTACTCTCACCCACAGTTGCCAACTTCAACGCATACGAACTTGGACAACTCCCGAATTCCATTTCCTTTGCAGTCTACTTGCTTTCGATGATACTGACTTGCGTGCTGAGTTGTGTCGCCTTTTATACTAGACTCACCA